CTTAGAAACTGATATTGTCCTTGTTCTCATTTTATTATGAAGTTATTGAAGCTTTCTCAAAGTAAGTGGCAGAGCTGAGATTGAATTCAAGCCTGTCTTGCTCCAGTACAGAGGGAAGAATAGGAAATTCATATTTTTTCATCCATTATATGACAGGTGTTATGTGCCAAGAAAAAATAAAAAAATCTTTAACATAATTCACAAGACCATTCACAATATGGCTCTCTCCTTCCATATCTTGATAATTTCTCTGTCATTTCTTAAACTCCAACAACATTAGCCTTCTTTTAGTTTCTAGAACTTACTGAACATATCACACTTCATGGCCTCTGCATATACTATTTTCTTTGCCTGGAAGGGTTCCTCCACCATTCTCATATGTCTAACTCTTACTTATTCTGATCTTGGTTTAAACATCATTTCCTCAAGAACCTTTTTATGCTCCTTCTAGACACTATGTTATAGCCCCCATTAACTGCTGTATTCTTAGTATCTACTGCAACTCTAAGTAAATTTTGCAATAATTTTTTAATGTATGTCTCCCCTGGTGCTGTGTGGTGAGTTTCTTTATTGTCTCTGTCATCATTTTCTCTGTACTATACATACCATGAGTGAATGATTGATGTCCTTCAATTCTTATGAGCTATTTTTTTTTTTTTTTTGAGACAGAGTCTCACTTTGTTGCCCAGGCTAGAGTGAGTGCCATGGCGTCAGCCTAGCTCACAGCAACCTCAAACTCCTGGGCTCAAGCAATCCTCATGCCTCAGCCTCCCAAGTAGCTGGGACTACAGGTACATGCCACCATGCCCGGCTAATTTTTTTCTATATATATTAGTTGGCCAATTAATTTCTTTTTATTTATAGTAAAGACGGGGTCTCACTCTTGCTCAGGCTGGTTTCGAACTCCTGACCTCGAGCAATCCACCCACCTCGGCCTCCCAGAGTGCTAGGATTACAGGCGTGAGCCACTGCACCCGCACCCGGCCCTTATGAGCTATTTTAAGACTTGGCAAGATTACACAATCTTAATGTCATAACTAGTAAGTAACTGAGACCTTGCATGTTGAAAAATCTACACTATTTCCACTATAGAACTATTAAACAAAATTAAATTATTTTCTAATAAACTATGCTTAGAGTCTCTTCCTTTTCCATTTATAGTCACTGTTAATAAATATTAAATTCAAAATGAAATGGTACGTAAAGATCCTATCACTGAATGTTGTTGAAATAAAAATAAACTAAAATTGGATTGCAATGATTCCACAGAAAGAGATAAACTGATGAAACAGAGAGTCAACCACAATGCATGATGAAAAAGTGAATTGCCTAATCCTTCAGAGGGTGGGGGCTGTATTTCAATTTTAGGATAGATTGCAGGACATCTATGAGGAAAAAATAACCAAAAACATTCACTCTGTTGTTCCAGAATTAAAGAAATTGCTAAGATTTCTAACTGCTTTGCCTTTGATTATAGTTCTTTACTGAAGACTATCTAATAGAGACTTTACTACCTAAAAAGCTAGGTGTCAGCAATATGAAATAGACACAAAACTGTGTGGAGAGGCAATTCTTTGCAAGTTCCCAAAGCACCTATATACAATTGGGATTTGCTTTTTGAGGATCTCAGAGATTACAGTATGGGAAATGTATTTTATAGGATCATTCACTACAATCTAAAGTCCTTTCCATATACCACCCTTAAAGATTTCTATTCCATGTTCATATTACTATATGTGTAAAATATTGGGCGGCTTATTCCATTGTGAAAGCTAATATGCAATACCATTTACCTGGCAAGGCTTTTGATAAGCCTGTGCATTCTGAAGGGAGTTTACTTTCATGAGCAACAAACAGCAAAGCTTACAAAAAAGGAGAATCCCTCTTGCCTCTGGCTAGCCAAAGGGCATCAGAGACCAGGACTACATGTATGCCAGCTCCGTTTAGGAGAGAACAATTAGATGCAACAATCCCTCCTTATTTTGCTTAAGGACCTAACTGCCAATATCTCCTCTCCCCAGATTCCAGCTTCAAAGAAAATAAGCTAAGTTCCTTCACACCAAATTGTGCCTGTACTCACTTATCACCTCCCAAAGACACGTAGCAACAAAAATAATCAAATCTATGTATCCTGTTATTTGGCTATCATTTTTATTTATTTATTTATTTATTTATTTATTTATTTATTTATTTATTTATTTTTTGAGACAAGAGTCTCGCTTTGTTGTCCAGGCTAGAGTGAGTGCCGTGGCGTCAACCTAGCTCACAGCAACCTCAAACTCCTGGGCTCAAGCGATCCTTCTGCCTCAGCCTCCCGAGTAGCTGGGACTACAGGCATGTGCCACCATGCCCGGCTAATTTTTTTATATATATATATCAGTTGGCCAATTAATTTCTTTCTATTTATAGTAGAGACGGGTCTCGCTCTTGCTCAGGCTGGTTTTTAAACTCCTGACCTTGAGCAATCCGCCCGCCTCAGCCTCCCAGAGAGCTAGGATTACAGGCGTGAGCCACCACGCCCGGCTCATTTTTAAAACTTATATGTCAGCTCTGCCCTCAATCTTGGGAATATATAAATAAATAAAAGTACATTAATTCTGCCTTTGAGGTTGGCTTTGTAGAAAATTGTTAACCAGGAATGTCTGCAATTAGGTATTCAACATAGTAATAGGTTCACATTGAAAACCCTGACTAAATGAAGTTGAAGATAGGTCTCCTACCTCTACTTCCCTCTCCAACTCTACTCTGCCAACCAAAATTCTTAGTAAGAACGTCCTACACTGCTAAAATAAACAGAGTCAAAGTTTTATTACTCATTCACTTTGATCATCTGGGCTATTATAATACAAGTGTGGCTGCCTGATTCCAAGATTGCAAAGATTAACAATTCAGATACAGTGTCATAAAATGTTGGTGATCTATAATGTGCTGAATTTTTTTTTTTTACCAGCCATACTGGATAATGTGCTGAATTTTTAAAAATACAATGATCCTTTCATGAACATTCTCAGTAAAGACAACATTTTATGCACAATTTTAGAAAATTTAAGCAATTGGAGATTACTAAGAAAAAGCAAGTTATTATTATAGAAAGGAAATTTTCAGGCCTTGGGTGTTTATTTGCTGGATACTTTGACTCTCACTTACTGCAGCCTTCTGGGCCTTTGCTGACCCTTATTAACCCTCTTAAATCACTCCAATCTGTCCTTTTTTCTCTATTGCCACTGTTACTGCCTTAGGTCTGGCTCTCACTGGTTTTTATTTAGAATGTTCCAGTGGCTTCTTAAGTGAAATATCTGCACATTAGTTTTATGGTACAGATGGCCACATAAAATAATTCTAGTCCCATTTTTTATGATAGATATTTGTACACAGAGCCTTAAGGAGAAAATGTCACACATTCTTAGGAGAGGCAATAATCTCTGTGTTTTGATTTGAGGATTGCTAGGAGAGTTTCTTATTCCTAAAATAATTGCAGTATAAGAGAACAAACAAAGATAACACTTCTTCCTCTAATATTGATAGGGCCTACTGTATACAGGATATAGCCTTAATCCTTTACTCAATTATCCTCAAACTATTTCCATATTTGCAGTTGAGGAAAGTAAAGCACAGAGAGATTAAGTAACTTGCCTGTGAACACACAGTCAATAACTGAGGAGCAGAACTCAAACCCAGGGAGTGTGACTCCAGAGACCAAGTTCTTAATCTTTCTGACTTCCAGAAAGCAGGGGCTATGTTTTACTCACTGTTGTATACCTAAAGCCAGGTTCACTGTCGGGCTCATAAAAGAGAACCCATCTAATAATATTGGAAAAAAAACTGAAATGGAGGTGCAAGATGGTCAGATTCTAAAGGGAACACTGTGTTCTGTCCTCAAACACTTATGAGAAGATAGGCCATGGTGAGGACAGGTGAGGACACAGGGCAAGCTCTTGCCAAGTCTGTGCCACGTTTCCTACTCTGCCCATGCAGGCATTGGTCAAATGCAAACCTGACCATAATGTCAATTCCCTTGACCTCATTGCTGAGCAGTATTTTTCAAACTTTTACAGGAAACGTCCCTCTTTAATGGCTGGCAGATGACAGCAACCTTACCTTTAGGGACAAGGCACATAGGAGCCACATGCTGAGTTTCTCATGGACTGTGTGCCTCACCTTCAATATCCTAGCAAGTTTGGCATTTATTCTACAATGTAACTCTGTTGTAAAATAATGCTCATAACTACTTATCACTGCAACTCCAGGAAGAAAACTTTATTCCTACCATTGTGACTGCTAACACCACCTGGCCTACATATCTATCTGTATTCTTTCGGGGTTCTCCGAAGTGCAGCTTCATATACACAACAGGCCTATCCATCTAGCCCGAGCTACCTGGCCCATTACATAAATCCTTTCCCACAGGAGCTCCCAACTCACCAACCCCTTATCCCACCCGTCCAGCCGATACAATTATTTGCAACCACGGCCTCAGTTAGATTTCAAGCTGTTTTCCACCTCCTGGACTTTGCTAACTAGGCACTTGTAGACTTTGAGAAGACATAGCCATCCTCCCAAACCCTATTTGGGTGTGATTTTATTGACGTTGTTTCTCAACCCTCTTTCTCCCTACAGTGTGTGGATACATAGTAATACTTTCCTGATTTACTCTACTGTTTTCATTTGTTTCCGTGGTGTCTCTCCTACCAGACTGTCCCTGGAGATAGGCTGTTGTTTTAGCTCCCTTAAAATCCCAAGTGCCAAGCAGAGCCCCTTGCCATTCAGGTAAACCTCTGATTTATGGGAAACTGGGCTCACAATAAGTAACGGAGTTCCTCAATAGGAGAAGGCAAGAGAGCTAACTATGAAATTAACAGTAAACCCGCGCTGAAAAGTCTGAGCACGTCTCCGATTTCGATTTTTCTTTTGTGATACAAGAACTCCAGATTCCAGGTCCCAGGGACTTCCTGGCGCCCAAGAAGTTAGGAGGGATCTGGGCTGGCGAAGAAGTCACTCACCAACTGGTGGAAGGAGGGTGTCTGTTCTCTAGCGTTTTGGTCCAGGGCTTGTACCAGCTGATCTGCTCGGCAGCTTTGCCCCAGAACCTCTCGGGGTCGGCCAGCGAGGCCGCGAAGTGCGTCTTGTACTCGCCCACGCTGCCCGAGGCCAGCGCCCTGCAGCCCCGGCCCCCGACAGCGCCCCACGGGCCCGGGGCCACCAAAGCCCTGCGGGCCGCACCGGCTCCCCGGGCTGGAGGGGACCCGGGCAGGGGCCCCCCGAGGCCCCCGGCGCCGGTGACTTTGCGACATTGTAGCCAAGACGGTTTCATGGCCCCGGCCGCCCTCCGCGCAGGCCGCTCCGCCCGCGGTCCCCGGGCGCGCGTGGCAGGGGAGCTCGCGATTTCCCGGGGTCCGAGGGGAGCAAGCGGGAGGCGGGGGCGAATTCCGAAGTGAGCCTGGAGCCCAGAAGTTTGGAAATCACACCAAGAGTTGCCGGGAAAAACCGACCTGGAGTGCACGGGGAAACAACAAGCTGGAGTGGGGGCCCCAGGGCAGGGGGTGTCACAAGAGTCCTTGCGGGAGGTGAGTTGCGCAGCTGCAAGAAATCCAACCCCTGCGAGCAATTCCAACCGCGCGGCTGTCCCAGAAAAGTCGCCCTGATACTACACGACGTCCTCCCGATTTCGACACACAAATACTCGTACGAGGAGGCCAAAGGACCCAACTCACTCTCAATTTTCAAACAAGCAAGTTGCCTGTGGTTTTTCTGGTTTAATCTTTCGCCAGGGCGTTAGCGAAGGCAGCATTGCCTTTGGCCTACAGTGGAAACCAGCAACCCTGGGCATTGCCACAAAGCGTTTGAATTATTATTATCTCTATTTATTCATTAATTTATTTAACTCAGCTCAATCCCTGGTTATTAAAAACACAAGCAGTTCCAGGTTAGGGATTGTTCCAGGATTTCCTGACAGCTGAAGGGTAGGAGGAGTGGGAGGAGGTTGTGCCGGCCAAATTGGGAAGTGCTTCTTGGGCTGATTGACAGGCCAGGAGGGAAGGTAACCCAACTGGGATGAAGATTCACCTGCTCACTGGACTCCGCACAGGATCTAGAGGCAGGGAACAGAAAGGACTTGTTGCATTTCCTCCCTTCCAATTTGCTTCTTTGGAGTTTATGTGACCTTTTCTTTCTGTCTTTCTTTTCTTTTTTTTTTTTTTTTCTCTCTGATGAGTAAACAAAGCAAAGCAGGAAGAGCTAAGTAAAGATGAAATGAATCAAAAGAAAAAAGGAAGCTGGGAAAATTAAAAGAGAAAGGTAGTGTAAATTACTAGCTAGGATTAACATCCTTCAAGCTCTGCTGTTTTTCACGCCTTAGTGAAATTCAGATACAATCTTTTGCTTTAATATTATGCCAAACACATTCTGTCTTGGTCTGACAATATTTGCAGTTTTAAATGTAAAGATGTATATTCCCAAATGAGGTGAGAAATAGTGGAATGCCCCTGACCTGGGAAGGATCATAACTTGAGAAGCTGTAAACAAATGATTCTACAGGAAGAGAGTAATGTAGAGACAACGGTTAAACCGAATAGAGGTAAATCTAATGCAAAATAGAGAAAATTTCCTTAAACAATCACCTTAGATATCCCCTTTTAACTGAGAAACAAGACTTTCCCCTGACACCTGCAGTCTACATTATTCCTTCCAAAAGTGTCAAATCAAATGATGTCTCATGGCAAAAGACAGTGTCAGCACTTGAATTCAGAGAAAGTTACCAGGCGATTTAGCCTCTTGGTCCCCACTAAACCCAGGCAGTTAATTATTGGTATTTATTATGCATTCACACTGTGCTGGGCGCTTAAAAAAATGTTAGCTCCTGTGTTCCTCATAAGAATACTAAGAAGTGGGAACCATAATTCCCATGTTTACAAATGGAACTAGTTTAGAGACAGGTTAACTTGCCCATGGCCATGAAGCTACCAAGTAAAAGAGTCAGGATTCAAACTTTGTTGGTGCTCAAAGCTTCAGAACCAGGATACCTTGAATTGCAGGTGTGCCATGATACTGAATACTTCTACCTCAAGGTGGGGGGCTGAGGGACAGTCCACTCCAACACTGTCACTTACCCTAGCATACTATGCAAATATGATCTTTTTATTTCTGTGCCATGGCTTGAATATGGTGGGGAATCTGACTCCAAAGTTCACAGTTTTCACACTGGGCTTATTATCTTCCTATTTAAAATAAAAGATCTTAGACTTCCAGTAAAACCTGACACATTGAATACCCAGATCCATTCTTCTCCGCTGAGAAACTCCACTGAAAGACAATCAAAGAGGGCAGTGGTGTAGGTAAAAACCTACAAGGACAAACAGAACAGGAGAGGAGAAGAAACCAAATAAGAGAATGAGAGGAAGATGGATCCATGGTATATGACTTAAAAGGGGAGTGTGGGTGAGCTGAATTCAACTGTCTGTGGAAGATAAAATAGATTTCTTTATTAGAAAGCTAAAATATCTCAGGATTTGGAAGCTCTGGATTCTTCAGAAGGTTCAGAATAAGGATTAGAGTTTTAAAAACAAAAGACAGGATTAAAAGATTGTATGATTCCAAGTTAGACTCCCACCTTGCAAGATGAAAGCACTTTCTCTGGATCTATCAGTACATGATCTTGTCTTTTTAAAGTAATTGTATAAAACAGATTGTTAAATTAAGCTCCATTTCATGCCAAGGGAGAACATGAGTGTGAAGGCACAGTCTGAGTTGGAAAGAGTTTAATGTGTAAGTAGACAAGAGAGAGCAGTAGGACTAGAAAATTTTGTCAGGGCCAGCCAGATGGGAGGTGTAAAACAGTGTCAAATGCAGGTCAGGGCCTAAGGGTAAACCTCTGGCCTTTCAATTAAGACACAAAAGGCCTGTTGATTGCTCACTAAACATATAAAAGCTTAAAATCATTAGCTATTGAGTGTCAGTTTTAATCTCAATATTGCTACTTATGAAGTGAGAAAACATAGAAAGTTTATTAACTTTTCCACATTGCAATTTCTGCATCTGTCATCTAAGGCTGATAATCTTACTTCACAGGATTGTTACAAGGTTTGAATATGTGTCAACTGTTTATCATCAGGGTAGTAGCAAGCAAAGCTAATAAAGAACATCAGCCAAGCCTTGAGAACTGCCAAAAAATTCAACCAATAAAAACCTTCATTTCTATTAACATACCTAAAATTTTATAATCAGAGCATCTTCCCCCAAATAAACTATTTTAAGAAGGAATGTAAGTTTCATGCTATTTTTAAAAATTAAATTATATTTTTAATTAATTTGAGGGATTCAGTAATCACAATCTTTTCAATGTTTAAGGCCTCTAAAACACCAGCTCTTAATGTGTAATATTGATTTCATACTGTGTCAATAATGGTATAATTAATATGCTATTCAAGTTGATATTTTAAACACTTTAAACAAAGATGCCTTAATGAGATTATCTAAGAGAAGCTTTCTAGTAAACAAAAAGTAAAATGATAGAAAGGGTGCAGAGAAAGGAGAGCAAAGGAAATAAAAAGGTGTGAAAAACTACTCAAGAATGCATTATGGGAGGGGAAGAAATGAGTCAGAATACTTACTGCCTAAGGAAAAGATGGTGACAATTGAGAGAGCAGAATGGAATTCTAATTAAAAGAGGAAAAAGATATTGGGATGCTAGAACTCAATTGTACTTTACAATTTTTGCCTAGGATTAGTCATCATTAATACAAGCCTATCTTTTTACCAGAGAGAAGGAGAATAAAAATAATTAGTAAACATTTTATAATAATTATAGATTACCCTGGTAATATATTCTGCTGACTACTCAATTCATGTTTTCACCTAAATTTGTTAAGACCCAAATATCTAACTATGAGTAAGGATTACTATTAGAGCTACTGAAATTTTTCTTTTGACTTCCATACTTCTAGTTTCGTGGATATTATGAAAACTTGGCAAGTATACATGGAAGTGTTTGCATAAAGCATTTCATCTCTGCAATAGGTACATGTGAGCTGAAATTTGACTTCACAGAAAAACTACACATTTGTTCTGATTTAGCAGAACAAATTTCTGGGAAATATACTGATTTTCTGAGCTTAAAAATAGTTTTAAAACTTCTAAAATGAAATTGTACATAGTACTGAAATTATAAATTCCTATTTTAAATGTTTCTTCTTTTTCCCAAATAGTAATTGTAATAATGACAAGGAGAAAAAGTCAGATAAAAGAATTATTTTAGAAAAAAATAACATTCCAATAGATGGGAAGACAACTACAACTCCAGTTTATTCTAGCAGCCAAATAAAATGACATGAGATTCATCCACCAACCTTATTTTTATTTCTGAAAAAAAAATTCTAAAAATTATTTCTAGTTAAGAAAAATATTTAATTGCCTGTATTTGAGAAAAACTTGAAGAAAAACACCTAGGTAAATATTTCCAATTATTTTTTCCAGTTCTTGTTTTGTTTTTGTTTTTTCCCCCCTTTACATAAAATTTACCATTGAGAAAAAAAAATCTCATCAATATAACTGTTATGGGCCGGGCGCGGTGGCTCACGCCTGTAATCCTAGCACTTTGGGAGGCCGAGGCGGGCGGATTGCTCGAGGTCAGGAGTTCGAAACCAGCCTGAGCGAGACCCTGTCTCTACCAAAAATAGAAATAAATTAATTGACCAACTAAAAATATATATACAAAAAAATTAGCCTGGCATGGTGGCGCATGCCTGTAGTCCCAGCTACTCGGGAGGCTGAGGCAGTAGGATCGCTGAGCCCCGGAGATTGAGGTTGCTGTGAGCCAGGCTGACGCCACGGCACTCACTCTAGCCTGGGCAATAAAGTGAGACTCTGTCTCAAAAAAAAAAAAAAAATATAACTGTTATGAAAAGTCAATAAAAATTACTAGTATATTAATTAAATCAGCAAAATTCTTGAGAGGTGATTTTAATTCTTCTCCAGAGATCATTCCTAAAGAATTATCCTGCTTCTATTTTATATTCCTAAACTAAAACCACTGTATAGTACTCAAATATTATTAATAATACTTTAAATATATAAGAAAAATTTCATTATGATGGTGATAAGTAATGAAAAGGAAAAGAAATATCCTTTGTCATAACATTTTTCAGAAAATGTAGTTGATTGCCTAACATTAATTTAGGTTGTCAAATTTTATGGCTTTGTCTGTGTATGTTGTGGGCAGGATGGGTGGGCATGAAATTAAACTAGAAAAAGAAACTTAAGGCCAGTTTATCAAAACAACAGCTGCTCTTATGTAACAAGGAAGTGGGCAATAATTTGAGGGTTTCAAAGGCAATGCAAATTTCATCTGAAGTATTGTTTTCAAACTGGAAAAAATATAGGGAGAAAGAAATTACTTCATTTAGATAGATCATGAAACCAGATGTTTTATTTATTAATTGGAAGCACTGTTGAAAATAAAATAAAAATATGAATACATGGTAGGTATTGGGATTGTTTTAATACAATCTGGCCAATATTTAGCTGTGTAGAATCTCTCTTGTCCTATTTTCATACCTACAAACTGACTACTACACCACATCCTGGGTCAGTAGAGAGTGGCATGATGAAAACAATTAAAAAGTACAGCGAGCTT